TTCTAAGAAATTTTTGAATATTTTCTTCCAATTTATCAAAGAAGTTTGTGAAATTATCAGGGCAATCGCCCCTTGTCGATACCATGTTGGCTATGATACGACACCATAGTTCACTCACAAACATGATTCTTTCTTGCAGATTTAAAACAATGGAAGTGGTCCTAAGATGCAACTGCAAGATCCATACGTTTGTCACGCGGTTGCGATCTGGGCTGCGGTGCGGTATGTTGACCTAACCTCGAATCCGGCATCAGCGACGTGGGTGGAAAAAGGTGTTTTAGAAAGCATTATGTTATTGAGCCACTTTATCGAGCATCGGGCATCTATTAGCCACATATCAAAGCGCGCGCTTGCGCTTGTGTATCCGTGCCGCGTCCATTAATAACGGTCGATCCAACACGCGCGTGTCCACCGCTCGCGCTTCCGCCTCGAACACACATCGTCGCTCCTCTGACGGATGAGCCCTGTTTTACATATAAATCCGTGCTTGCTGGGGCTCATACGAAAATAGAGATACGCCCTTATACCATTGGAGCGACGACATTCGGCAATCCGTCTCTCATCCGCGTCTTAGATTTCTGCCGGCTCTTCATCAGGATAATAAGGTTGCTCCTGCTACTTATAGAACCTCGCTGTCCGATATCAAATTGTACCGGACAGGAAACTTGCTATGGTGATTCTCGAAAGTTAGGACTACTGTTTTTTTCGGGATAAATCGCCATCATGAGTGATGTACTGCGGATCGCGCTGATAAAGTCGATCAGCATGATACTCTGCCGATTAATATGATATCGCGGTGCTTTAAAATGGATGGAAAAATCATGGAACATGATATCATTATGATACCAAGCCCAATATGATATCATTATGATACGGAACCCAATATGATATCATTATGATACCAAGCCCAATATATATAGTGTCATACCGATACCGTGCTGATATCATGCTGATACCATCCAGGAGAATCGGTCAATTTGCATTTTAATATCGTGCTGATCGACTTCAGCAGCACTGGGCGAATCAAGGTGCTGTCAATTTTCAAAGATTGCTAAAAGCAACCCAGTTCTGATTCCTCTGTTAATTACGCGCATTTATAAGGTGAATCCACACAGAGGGTAAAAAAGGGAGACAAATCGAGAAATTTCGTCTTTCAAAAAAGGATTTTTCGCTCGTGTTCACTGGATGTGGGATTTCATTGACTTACCTACATTTAAATTACAATCTCACGATGATACTAGCCTCCAATAAAAGTTTTAGCTTCCTTTCAAACATGGCTTTAGGCATGTATTTAGTTCTTGCGAAAGGACCGGCAAGATGCACTTTGATCGAATTGCACGTCAATATTTTGAAACTCTGCGCATAGTTAGGCAAGTGTTATAATTGTGTCATAAGATTCTGGCCTTTTTGTATAGTTTTTTTTTTCAGTTATTTAGAAAATGTTTCAAGTTAATTACAATACTCTGTCCTTCTCAGTGTGTTTTCAATCAATATACGTGCAACAGGAGAATGACGTAAACGCATTTAGATTTCTGAAAGTATTGTCATTGCAAAGTTTACATTCCTTGCCAATCCCAGAGCCTATTGAGCGCCAAGCAGTCACTGTATGATACTCAGCTTGGTGGACAATTATAGTCTTGGATTAAGCTTACGTCGCCAGATCTCATGAGAAAAAAAACCGATTTTTGCATCTCATGCAGTGATCAACTCTTTGCTCAATACAAAAGCCTGCTCAGGAAATCAATTTTTGAATGACGAGTTCTTTGTTTGATCGTTAATCTCTTCTCAGTTTTTGTTTTTTATCCCTGAACTTAAAAGCTTACAGAGGCACTGATGAGGATTTTTAACAAATCGTGTCAAGTTTAAAATGTTAAGAAAGGAAACAAGGAAACAGTAAAAACAAGGCTAAAATACATATAAATATATAGGGGCGGTTTGGTGTCTCACGACATCATTATCAACCGCTAAAAAAGTACAAAATAAAAAATGAATTAAAATCAAAAGAAACCAGCACGGCGTTACATGCTGATGGTAATGAAAGACTCAAAATATGTTTAAAATTTGTTGCACTGCATGATGCAGAGTTTAATTTTATTGTTAGTAGTAAGAAGTTATAGGGGCATTAAAAGGTGGATGGAAGGAGTTTTGAAGGTGCTGGCGGTAACGGTGAGGTGTGTTAGTTACGTATAAAGGTGATGGTAATTTTGGTCGAAGTAGTGGTAGTTGTATGGGTGGTGGTAGTGATAGAAGTTGTGGTAACGGTATAGTTAATGTATTTGGTGGTGAATGATGATACTGATGATGATGATGATGACGCGGTGACAGTGACGACGACTCTTACAACGGTGGCGACGAAGAAGGCAATGCCGATGACCATTATGATGATGACGATGAAGATTTGAGGAGGAAGAGACAATGGGAAGAATTTTTTGGATTCACAATTTCAATTCTCTCCATAAGCCCCAAGATATCAAGAGCCAATAATGACTAGGGCCCCTTCATAGAGAGAGATAAGACAACGTGGCTCATGGATGTCACGTCACAAACAGGAATAAAGATTACACAAATTGAACGTTTTTCGTAATTGATCAACTCACTCCCGAATTCCTATCTCAGGCCCTTCTCTCAATCAGTTTGTTCCTTGCCATGCCCCTAATTCCCGGTCCATTCCAGTTTATAATCTTTGCAATTCGTGAATGTAATCTTTATCCCCGTTTTTGACAATGTGGAGACCGAAAAAAAGGGAGCCAATCAGAAATGGATTTATATCGTCTTTACTCTCACTGGAAAAAAAATCACATTGGATCTAGAGTCCAGACTCTTGAAAACATTGACAAGAAAAATACTCTTGATTCAATCGGATTTTTGCTTGAATCAAAACAAAATCTGCTTAAATTAAGAAGCTTGGTTCTCGATTTAAGCTAGATTCTGATTGAATCAAGAGTACTTTTCCTTGTCGATATTTTTAAAAGTCTGGACTCTAGATCCAATGTGTTTTTTTTCCAGTGCTCAGTATAGAGGGACTCCATTCATGACCACTGCTAAACAATCAAGATATTGGACGCGATAACTTTGGCAACAGTTGGAGTGTCTTAATCCGCGAGTGTCAGTCGGACAACAATCAGGCCGAAATGAGCCGAGTGCGAGTACTTGTGAGCAGAAATCAAATCTCAAAGAACAATGGCCGTCGAGTTTTGTAATATCGCGTCGCCGCCCGCCGATCCGTGAGCAAAAGCTGTGCAGCTTTGGAGCGACTACTATCGCGGAATCAGCTCCAGAGTTTATGGTCAATTTGTGGGAGCTTGCTTATTTTGACGGACAATCATATCAACAAATTATCAAAACAAACAAAAAATCAAAAACCAAAAATTTCAAATCATATCTTATATCAGGTCACTGTTTTTCGGTAAAATCAGTATTCAGTACTCACTCCATGCCCGACAGAAATGCTTTGCAAGGCATTTGAATATTTGGGAAAAGAAATAATAAATATCGTCAAACCTCACCTTACGGTTCTTCATTAGTTGATTTTAGTACAACGATAAAGGTTTCTACGAGCGTTTAGTGTCCTGCAGGTTCCTTAACCCTGGTAAAAATTGGCGATAGGAGCTGCGTTTCAAAATACCATAGGATTTCTCATAGCCGACTAAAGAAGGCTATGGAAAATCATATGTATAGCTGGCTGTAGAAAGCGGAGCAAATCATATAGCCGGGATATACGAAGCTATAAAAAAGTATACAGTCGGGCTATAGTTCCTATCGCCGGGCTTTACACTTTATCGCCATTGGCTATAAAAGGCTATAGGAAATCGTGTAGAAATTCGTGTGCTGTGGAAATCATTAAGTTTGATACGGAACTACCTTAATATTTACAAAATACACATTGTATTTTCCTGTAAAACATATTTTTTTTCATCAATTAAAATGAGAATAATCCATACAGAGTGTGCAAACATTTCAAAATCATGAGTTGAAAAACGCTGACTCCGCGAGATTAAATATTCGAGCCTAACACAAACGGAGCGGCGACGCACTGGCGCCTACAAACCTAACAGGGATACTTCACGCATTGCACAAACGTGCATTGACGCCTACAAACCTAACAGGGATAACCTACAAACCTAACGCATTGCGCAATGCGTGAAGTATCCCTGTTAGGTTTGTAGGCGCCAATGTGCGCTCCGCGCTCTCTGCCCTTAATCGCCATCGGCTATGAAAGGCTATAAGAAATTGTATAGCCGGCTACAAAGGCTATTGGAAATCTTACAGCCGGCTTTAGGTCTATAGTATTTTGGAACACACATTCTACTGCCAATTTTTACCAGGGAAACTATACATTGTTGATTTAATACTTTGTACTCCACATCGCATCGCTAAAGGGATTTTCAGAAGTTTTTCACCACAAATATCGTTGATTTCTTTTCTTTCTCCAAAACTCACCGTTGAATCCTCAAAAACCGATGACAAAATATAAAAACAAAAAAAAAATTAAAAATGAAAAATAATGAAAAAAATATAAAATGAAAAAAATAAAAAAAAATAATAAAATGAAAGAAAAAAATCCCATAGGATTGAGTTTTTTTCAAATATAGATTTCTGAAAGTTACGGTTCATTCATTATTTGTTTTTTCATTTTTTTCTTTTTTTTCTCTTTCTCTCTCTCTCTCTTTTCTCTCTTTTTTTCTGCTCTTTGTAAAAGTCTCTTTTGGTACGTCAAAAACGAGGTTACAGCACACAGAAATATAATTTCGGCGTCCATGAAAATCATATCCTTCCGCTACCCAAAAGTCATCCGTCCTTACAGGCGCCACAAAGCACGCTGCGTTGCCAGATCTCGAGCCCTGAGCCCACGATCCCGGACGACGGGCACGCACGGAGCCGCGTCGGCGGGCGGGCTGGCAACGTCGGGAGCGGGGTGGCGGGAAGGTGGGCTCCGTGGATCTCATGAATGGGATTGGAATTGCGGTCAACTTTTTACCTATTTCCAGCGAGCAGTCAGTGTTGCGCCGCGCTGCCGTCCACGTCGCGTTCCCGGTGTCGGTTCGTCCGAGTTGCATGCGTTCGGCTTTCTCCGCTCGCTCGGGTGTGTTCGTGTGTTGTCTGTGACTTGCGCCCCTTTCGTACCCCTCGTCAGGTGTTTACGGCCCGCTCGGATATATTCGCCGTGTGTCGAAATGTGATGCCCATGTGGATTAATTATGTGTTCGTAAGATGATCAGGTAAGACAGCTCTCTTATCAATATCAATAGCATCGGCCTCCGCAGTGACGTAGAACAGGGGAGGGGGAAGGTTCAGGGGGCTGGGGGCCTGGATAACAAAAATAAACTTCCAAAAAACTTGATTCTTCCTAAATTTTCAGGAATGTTTTCTTTGGGCCCCCGGGTTGGTACAAATAACTTTTTACGTTTTTTAGACTTTTTATACTCGTCATGGACCCTGAACGAGAACTTTAATTCAAGGAATATACAGTTTTAAATGTTCCTAACCAATTTTTCTTCAATACACTAAACTACTTTATATTCATGATAAATTTAAAGAAAATCGCCGTCGAAAGTTGACTACCCCTTAGATTTAACACTTTTTGTATGGTCTACGGTAAGGACAAAATGAATTGCTCTCGAATTTAAGTTGTCACTTAGACTCTACGGTAAGGACAAAATGTCTGAAAAACGTATAAAGTTATTTGAACCAACCCTCCAAACGTCAACACTCCCCGTACCCCCTTGGGGGGATGATTAAATTATGGTTATGCCACGACGCTGGTAACCCTCGACGGGAAATGGATCCTTGTTACCCCCGAATAATTAAGAATCCATACGCTTTCACGCTAAAAGAAGGAATATTTTGCGAACTTTACGCTCAAAAATGTTGAACCAAATCCGATGGTTTCAAGTTTGCGTTTCAGATATGCAGAAATAAAATTTAAAGTTTCAATTTGCCGTGGTCGGGGATCAGACTTTTTGGATCAAAATGTAATATTAACGTCCCTCATGGGCAGAAAAAAGAAAAACGAAACCGATGCATCTTATTCTTTGGGGTGCTGAAAAGACATAAGATGACACTAAAATGATTGCTACAGGTAACGAAAGTTTACGGTAATAGAAAGTTCAGTTCAGATAATACAGGTCTGCAATAGTTACTTGATGAAATGCTAGGGAAGTCATGGTTGAGTCTCGTGTGATTTTTAGGGATGAGTCCTAATTTGACCTTAGATTTTTCCGCGTCAACGACGTTTTCCGACCAAATGTCGTACTCCTACCATATTACCCACGGATAAAACTGGTCATCCTGATGTTTCGCATCTGTAAGGGCGGGATAACTATATAATTGAAGTGTCTTTCCCGCTGAGCCTACTCCCTAAAATCTAATCAGGTCTAATGCCAAAAACTTCAGTCACGTGGACCAAAAACTTCGATGATCCAAATGAATTAATAATTTTGTTTTACTTTTTTCGTTCTGACCATGCACTTCATATTGGGTCGCTGGCCTATGCCTCTCATTCCACACAACGCAAAACGAAAGAGAGTACCTAACTAAATTTAAACGGTACAAAATTTTAACCCGTAAATTGTACTTATATCAGTAAACTATTGAGTATTTTGACATTAAATGGACCGCGTTTAGCAGAAAGGAATCAAGCCTCATCAGGTCTTGCCAAAAACCAGGAAATTTCATTTTTCACAAGAGAACATTTGTGTGGACTCCTAAAATATTTTGCGGAATTCGCCGCAGACTGAACAAAAATTCACTGAAATTGCACACAAAAAATCTCGCAACCGTTTTCATGTAAAAAAAGTAAATTGCCCAATTAAATGTGGCAATGGCTAATGTGGCTTGGTTCCTTTTTGCTTCAGGCGGACCAAATATCACTGATTTTTGTCTGATTTTATGCAAAAACGAGCAAAATTTTGAATAGAATTGTGTTTCTTGAAAAAAATTAAATTTTTTAAGTCAATTTTGCAAGCTTGGGATAAAGATACGTTCCTCATCGGGGGACCGACAAAATGAGGCATTAAACTGTCACCGGAGCAAGATCCACAAAACAGCCCGGCCTGATCCTGATGGGCAGGCATCAAAGTCGATCCCCTGACCAGGAACTTGACCTACTGCCTCGAAAGCGAGACGCGGTAGAAAGCGTGTTTACACTAACGGTGCAAAAAAACTACAGGTGTTCGCACGGTGACCCATAGAGCAACACGGAGCACTACCCGCCTGGAAGATCACTATTATTACACCCGGACGGCTCACATTAATCACACGTAATGAGGATCTAATCATATGCGACATGAGTGATTAATACCTGATTATGAGCGGATATCGGATCGTGAAGCGCAACCCACGTCCGACTCACAGCTGCGCTCGTTTCGTTGCCTCGCTCCCTTCCCTCCCAAGGGAGAAAAATCACTCGTCTCTCCTTTGTTTATCTCGATAAAATATGAATAAAGTTTGAGCCGTCCTTGTCAAAGATCGCATACGGTTAAAAGAAGCTCAGTTTACAAAAACTCAAATTAAATTAAGGATACCAGAACATACACGCATGTTCGTAAGAACATTTTGGGACAACAAAGACCACACAAAATCTCAAACCAAACTGGAGTTACACTGGTGGAAATGATAGTATTCTGACCAATTTAGATTAGAACTGAATTCTATCAGAGTTAATTATAGTTCAATAAATTGAAACGTCGTCATTCTCTCGGGTCGAATTAACTCAATTCCACTTTCAATACGAGAGCAGAAAATTATTATTTTCAACAGTGTAAAGTTTTTTTTGTGTTTAAGTTTGTTAAGTTTAAATTTTATTGTTGAAAAAAACCTAGTTACAAGAAACGTCTGTTTAAAAGTCTGATCGATGTTGCAAAAATCATGCTGTTGCCAGGTTATAATGTGATTTAACGCCCTCTACTGGCACCAAAATGAACTACAATGCTCAAATTTGATTCTTCCGTCAAAAAATCCCTCCCTCTATTTTCTGTAAAAAAACTCAAAATCCCATTTTTCGATCTACTTCTTCTAGAGTGACCAGACCGAAAATTTTGCCCTCATAAGGAAGCGCGCATCTCCCCTCGAACAGTTTTAGTTATTTAGGTCTGTGTCGCAGTTACAGTTTTATTTGTTTATTTTGAGCGACGTGTTAACACCAGTGACATGCTTGACTCAAGCATGTCACTGGTGTCTAAATATATAATAAAAATCTAATAAAATCATTCCTGTCTCTCAAGCAGCTTGAGAGACAGGAATGATTTTATTCATACCCCCTTTAAATGCCCGCACCGATAGCACATAGATACAGAACCACCATTTTGCCGTGCTAGGGAAAAACGCGGTATGAGCCTTCAGACGTTGCCAAGTTTTCTTGGATAAAAAGCGAATTTACGGGGCAAACTCTCAATATTTTTTTTAAACTTTTCAGACAATTTTGTACGCAATTTAATCTACAATATCTGAAAATTTCCAAGAAAAATGTGCATGAATGTCGTAAAAATACGTGTTTTATTAAGGGAAATTGGCAATTCTCGAATGTTCATATGGCGTTCTTCCTTAGCACGGCAACATTGTATGTTTATGGTGCTTTTTCACAAGTTTTGCGGCGGAGTATTCAAAGAACTGTGGGGTTTCCTTTGGGTTGTTCCTTTTAATGACTATAGTTACCTTGTTATCAGACACGACTCAACATACTCGTGCAGCAGGGAGACACAATAAACCCCGGGAGGAGTGGCAATTACTGGATAAATTGCCTGAATTTTTTTTTGCGTTTTTACGGCCTTCACTTTCGCGGGACCCTCGGTGCGAGAGGTCATGCACGGATTACGATCGAGCGAATTACAGTGATTCGAACTCAACGCCAGCCGAGGCTGTTGCTTGGGCTACCAATGCCAACAAAAGAAATGCTGTGATTTTATTCGAGAGTTAACGCACTGGCATAAATAATAAGCTCAGACCGAACTCAGCTTTCTACGTCCAATGTCAACGGCGATATATCTCAGATAAAACACGGTGGGTGACTTATTGTGACCGTGATATACTGCATTTTCGAGGGATGCGCATGCACGTGTGCGCTCCTTATAGTATAACCACTGTATATGTGTAAAAGTAAATGAAATGAGAGGAAAAACGGGGTATAGACTGTAAATACATATTGTATACATACATGAAATATTTACAGCCTGTACTCCGTGTTTCTTCTCATTTCATTTACATATTTTGGGCTGATTAAATTGTTACCTACATTACGTAGCTGTGTAAAAGTTTATCCATCTTTCGGAATATTTAAAAAAGGCCTGATGCAAACTTTAGCTAGATCAAAAAGAGAGTCGTTTTTGCTAGAAATTGCTAAAAAATATCGGTGAGTGCATCGAGAAGGTCTGAAATACACTCCTAACCTCGTAATCTGCGTAAGAAAAATGCGTTCTTTAAGCTTCCTATTTTAAAAATGATACTACGGCACGGGTGAATATTTCGTAAGAGGTTAGTATAACCAGCAATGGTTCATCCAACCAGTGCGCGCTTGGATGCTATGCAATATTTAACATGGCCGACGCCAATCCATCAAAACACACGTGACGACATGGGATTTTATCAACCGCCGTGCTTTTATATTTAGATTTTTCCTGCGTTGATAAAGACCATGGTGCTTCCTCACGATTTCCGCGCGGAGACGTCAGACATGTTGAATATTGGGTAACATCCTAGTGCACAATGGTCGGATAGACTGACTCCTCTTGCGGAATGTTTACCTGTGCCTGTGTGTCTAGGAAGTTTAAAAACGCATTTTCCACACGCAGATTATGAAGTTAGGAGTGCATTTCGGACTTTGAAAATGCTCTCATCGTGATTTTTGAGACATTTTCTGTAGGAAACTTATCTTATTTTTGCTGTGGCAAAAGTTTACAAAAGGCCTATTCCGAATTTCCAACGATTAAAGTAAGCACCGTAATGAACACGCGATGCAAGAAGTAATTTCGAAGTCTTGTAGGCGCTCATAGTGCGGTGAACGCGTACCGTGGTATATATGCAATGCGTGAAGTATTCTTGAAGCCTTGTAGACGTTAATATGCTCCTCGCGTCGGCCGCACTGTGTGACCGATTAGTGAAACGTCCGAACTCAGCATTTTTTTAACTTGTTACTACCGTCAAATTTTTGCACATCCTGTACAGGTCTCTGCCGTCTGAGACACGTGAAAAACGACCGCATTAGAGCATTTCCTTGCGAAAAATA